AGGAGGTTTCCCAGCTCTTCAATTCAGTGCGAAGCTTCTGGGCCTGCGTCTCGTAATCGGCCCTCGTTTGATCGTCCATATCGAGGTGATTGTCAGTTAAAACGCGTATACGTCATTGGAGAGAATGCAGCTCGACGGGATGCGGTGTGACGGCTCAGATAAGGTGGTTAAAAGGTATACTTGGGTGGATTTTGATGTGGAGGTGGAGGAACGCGATTGAGACGCGACACTGGAAAAACCACTAAACGCGAAATATTCACGGTCACCCAGCAGCGGGTGCGTCAGTGCACTCATTCACTGGCCGAATACTGGCCCCACTCCGGGTCGGGGATCCAGCTTGGGGGGGGTATTCCAAGTTCAGGGGGGGGAGTAAAGCCCTCAGCACTATGTAGATAAAAAAAAGGTAACTAAATTAGTCCTAGCATATACTCAGTATATCCTAAGAAATATAATACCTACCTTCTATAACTATAAAGGGCTTAAGAAGTACTAAGGTTACTAAGTCCTCTATAGTTACAGAGGGTAGGTACTATATTTTTTAGGATATACTAAGTATATGCTAGGACTATACCTAATTCTCACACTCCTCGCACTCTAAGCTAAGCCTAAATAAGCCTGCTTGGGACTTTTAGTGGGGATCCAGTTCGGTAGGGGGTATTCCAGCTTCGGGGGGGGGTATCCGGCCAGTGGATCGAAGTTCAGGGGAGGGTAAAAAGACCTCCGTAGGCTTATTTAGGCTTAGCGTAGAGTGTGAAGAGTGCAAGAGTCCTAGGTATAGACTCAGCATATGCTCAGCATATCCTTTATAATATAGCACTTACCTTCTATAACTATAGAGGACTTAGTTATCTTAGTTTTTACTAAATCCTCTATAGTTATAGGAGGTAAGTACTATATTCTAAGGTATAGACTTAGCATATACTTAACATATCCTTTAGAATACAGCACTTACCTTGTATAACTATAGAAGACTTAGTAAGAACTAAAGTAGCTAAGTCTTCTATAGTTATAGAAGGTAAGCGCTATATTTTGAAGGATATGCTGAGCATATGCTGGGATTATTTTAGTTACCTTTTTTTAATTTACACTGTGACTAGGGTTTTAACCCCCTTCCAAACTCCGCTCCACTTTTCCGATACCCACCCCCGAAGCTGGAATACCCCCTACCGAACTGTGCACCCACTTTTAGTCCCCCCCCTAAACTTTGAATACCCCCCCCCCCGAACTGTGCACCCCTCCGGGTCGGCCTCCACTTTACCCACCATACACCGGATACAGACACTTGCACCTACCTATTATGTGCCGCCTCCCTACAGGTAGAGACACATGACCCCTCTCTACGTCTCTACGAGGCTGAGAACAAAATGCTTTTATTCTTACCACGATCTCGGCGGGCGAGACGCCTTCTCCTTGAGCGAACAACTGTATGATGTGCTACATTACACCCCCTTGCTTGTCCTGCTGTCTCGTCGCTGTAGTCAGACATTATTACAACTGATTGCGACATGGCCAAGCAAATTTCCGCACAAGACTTCACTGTCGGCTGGGTCTGCGCCCTGCCCATCGATCTGGCCGCCGCGGCCGAGATGGTGGACGAGGAATTTGCTGACCTCCTGTCCTAGCTGACTGATACTAATATCTACTCCTTTGGCCGTATCAGCGCCTACAATGTCGTGGCTGCCTGTCTGCCTGCCGGCCAAATGGGCACGACCCAGGCAGCTATAGTAGCTAGTTAGATGAGTACTAGCTTCCCCTTGCTGCGGTTCAGCGTCCTTGTTGGCGTTGGTGGTAGTGTTCCTAACTGTCATGACGATGTTGATATACGGCTTGGTGACGTTGTTATAAGTTAGCTGACAGGTCAGCATGGTGGAGTGATTTAATATGATTTTGGGAAGACTGGGGTGGACGGACGCATTGCTTGCACTGGCAGCCTCAATGCGCCGCCTACGATACTCCTTAATGCCTTGGCTAAGCTCCAAGCTAACGACCTTTGGGGCAAGACATAAGTTGTCACGTATCTTTTGAAGCTGACTCTCTCTACGGGGTCGAGGTTCGCGTTACTGGGCCCTGACCAAGACAAGCTTTATGATACATTATTACTGCATATCTCTGGAGCTACATGCGCAAAGTGCAATTTAGAAGACATTGTGAACAGGGATGTACGCGTAACTTTAGACCTAGTTCTCTTTTTCGGCAACATTGTATCTAGGAACCAGGTAATAAAGGACAGGCTGACCTGCGACAAACACAGCCAGGATCTGGGAGGCATCTTGTGCTATGAAATGGAGGCGGCTGGTATGATGAATAACTTTCCTTGTATTGTTATTTAGGGCATATGTGGCTATGCAGACGCACATAAGAACAATTGTTGGCAGCTATATGTAGCAGTGACGGCGGCGGCATGCGCAAAGGAGCTGCTGTGTACTATTTCGCCGTTACATAGGGTATTAAGCCTGGGTCGCTCAGAAGCCTGTGAGTAACACGCCTATACTGGCAGCCAAGAGTCTAATGCCTGCCTTATATGTAGTTTGTTAAGAACCTTACTTTATTGTCCTGTTTTTTACGAAATGAACACTTTGTTGGTAGAGACACTATCTTGACGCAGCTTCTTGAAAGGATCCCCCTAGGAGCTAATAAAGACGCCTGCTAGAGGACTTTAATTATAGGCCTTGGAGGGATTGGTAAGACACAGGTTGTGACTGAAGCGGCATACCGCTTTCGCAATGTACACCTAGACTGCTCCGTGTTCTGGGTGCTAACTGTGGACATGGCCATGTTTGAGAACGCGTATTGCGAGATTGGCTGAGAGCTTAATATGTCAGGCATTAAAGACGACTAAGCAGACGTTAAACTCTTGGTCAAGGCTGTATTAGAACAAGATGATGTTAGAAGCTAGCTACTTATTGTTGATAACGCTGATGATATGGAGTTGCTGTTTTCTAACTTTAACCTGATGTTATATCTTCTGTTTAGTTGGGAAGGTTTAATGCTGCTTATAACCTGGAACCGTTAGGTTGCAGCAAGATTTAGTCCTAGCTAAGTTATGTGTTTACTAGAGATGGATACTATAGAAGCTACCTAGCTCCTATGTGGTGGCTTGGATGATGACTAGATTAACGATGGGCAAAGCATAATGCAGCTGCTTAAGCACCTTACCTACATACGCTTGGCTGTTTGTTAAGCAGCTGCTTACATAGCTGCTATTAATAACATTACGGTGTCTAAACATCTTGAATACTGCAAGTCTAGTAATGATGGACTGGTGAAGCTATTGAGCAAAAACTTTAACGACTAAGATCAATATGAGACAATTCTGAACCCTATTACTACGACTTGGTTGATCTCCTTTGAATACATCTTATGAGACAACCTGCTAGCAGCAGAACAACTTTGCTTCATGTGCTACCTTGTAGAGAAGGGCATTCCAAGAGTACTTTTGCCCTCTAGCAAGGACGAGATGCAGACTGATGAAGCAATTGGCACTTTGATGGCCTACGTATTTATCCTACCGCGCGCTGATGCAGACATCTTCGATATCCATCGGCTAGTGCGTCTGGTGACGCGGAACCGGTTGGTGAAATGAAGGAAGCAAAAAAGCCAGGTGATGAATGTGATAATGCGGCTTTCCAAGATGCTCCCTGAGCTAGAACATGGGAACAGAAATGTGTGGATGGCCTACCTACCCCATGCGCAAGCAGCCTTGGAGGTATGGCGCTGGTGTAAGAACGACGAGGCATTACAGCTTTTGCTCTGGAACATAGGGCAGGGTAATGTCTTGCTGGGGAAATATAGCAATGCAGAACAGATAAATCGCTAGGTGTTGGAGCTAACGGAGAAGGTCTTTGGCCTAGAGAGCGCTCTTGCACTTGACAGCATGAATAACCTAGTAATTATACTTAGTGATTAGAGGAGGTATAGAGAGGTAGAGCAGATGCATTGCCAGGTACTAGACCTAACTACAAAGATGTTAGGCTCAAGGAACCCTGCTACACTCAACAGCATGAACAACCTAGTGGTTGTGTTTGGATAGCAGCAGAGGTATGAAGAGGCAGGGCAGATGCTTTAGCAGGTCGTGGAGGTAAGCAAGAAGGTGCTTGGCTCAGAGAACCCTGATACACTTAGCAGCATAGACAACCTAGCAACTGTGTTTGGACGGCAAGGGAGGTATGAAGAGGCAGAGCAGATGCTTCAGTAGGTTCTAGAGGTAAGCAAGAAGGTTCTAGGTCTAGAGAATCCTCAGACACTTCAGGCCATGTATAGCCTAGCATCTGTGCTTGAAAAGCAGGGGACGTACAAAGAGGCAGAGCGACTATATTGGCAAGTCCTAGAGCTAAGAGAAAAGGTGCTAGGAGCAGACCATCCCTCAACCCTCATAACACAGCGCAACCTCCAATCTTGTTGGAAGTTTCGACAGACCCTACTTCAGAGTCTTAGATAGATCAAGATTAGCTGCTAGGTAATTATTAGTATATAGCTTTATGAGGCCCGCAATCTTTTAAAGAATTGCGACATGAATATCTAGCCGAGTAAGATTGATCGCTGTGGTATTCTATTGAGGTTCCATCGGGTTGCCTACCTGCATTAAACGCATGCTGGATGAGAAAGAACTGGCGATGTGATATTGACAAAAGAGAAAAAAGAAGAAGAAAAAGAAAGAAAGAAAGACAAAAACGCCTTGTCCGTCCAAGACACATTTGAATGTCGCATACAGAAGTTGCCGACAACCTTGTGTCAATGAATGTGACACTTTGGCATTAGAGCTGCTGCTCAGATTTAGGCTCCTGATTATGTATTGTCTGTTCCCAAGTCATCAACTTGCCTAAGTTATGTAATTAAACAGTCAGCGCGAAAGCGCCATGTCGGTTAGGTCAGGCAATTAACCTCGGCTGACTAACAAAGGTGGTAGGTAGCGCACTCAATCGCAACTAGAAACAACATCTCCATCCCATCTTCTCTCAACACCTCGACAACTGCTCTTCTCGGAACTCGGTACATTTGGAATGTCCCCCGAAGCGACAGCCGGCGGAAACCCGAAACCCCAAGATCTCCATTCTGCCGTCCTGCAGACCACTTTGCAGGAGATATCGTCGCGACCGACCGAGCTCCAAGACTGCTGCGTCATCTGCCTAGAGGAGGTCACCGAACGCTGCGAGGCCCAACCTTGCCACCACCACAATTTCGACTACCTCTGCCTCGTGACATGGCTTGAGCAGCAAGCGGCTTGTCCGCTATGTAAAACCGAAGTCAAGGAGGTCCGCTACGATTTCAGCGACGACCAAACGCAATGGAAAACCTATAAGGCACCGGAGCGACCGCAGGAAAAGCCTAAAGCTGCGGGAGCCTCTCCTCCGAGCCAACAGGCGAGGCGATTTTACTCTCAGGCACGCCCGCGATACTCGCGATCACATGCGCGCCCGACCCGGACCTTCACTCCTTCTCAAAACGAGGCGATTGCGCGCCGGAGGACCGTCTACCGGGACCAAATGTACTCGTTGCACGTCGGCTCGAACCGTATCTCGAGATACAGGGACTTGACGCCGCAGCTGTTTGCCTCCGACGCCGAGCTCGTCTCCCGCGCGCGCACGTTCCTCCGCCGCGAACTGCAAGTCTTTGAGTTTCTATCGCCAGACAACGACGCGCTGCCCCAGGACGCCGACCCCGTTCGGCGACGCAGGGCAAACAATGCCGAGTTCCTCCTCGAGTACATCATTGCGATCCTCAAGACCGTGGATATGCAGGGCAGCATGGGCCAGGCCGAGGAGCTGATCCAGGAATTTCTGGGAAGGGAGAACACGCGGCTGTTGCTCCATGAGCTCAGAGCATGGCTGCGGAGCCCCTACATGACGTTGGAGAGCTGGGACCGCGCCGTGCAATACCCGGATGTTGCGCCTAAGCGGCGGCGACGGTCGCAGAGCCCCAGCGCTGCCGATCGGGCGGAATCCTCAAGAAGCGCCGACGGGATCTATCCTTCGAGGTGGCGGAGGGACGAGCGGCGCAGGCACCGGCGTGAGCCCCGCGAATCGCGCCGTTCACGGAATGACGAGCGGCTGAGAGAGGCTACGGAGCGATACATTGTTGACTAGGCTCGCGGGAACGGCCTGAATCACCTATATGATACCCTTGCATTTGATTTCTATTGCGGCGGCGGCGGCGGCGGAGTTATGTAGTATTCGCGGGGTCTGTCTCTTTTGGCTTACGAGACTGTTACAATACCTTGCGGGCACTTTGGCCTTTTGGAACAGGCCCCGCACCAAGCCCCCCTAATGGAACCTGACATGACAGGAGTGTACAAAGTATACGAATAGACAAGGTCTCTTTGAGCTCTACGATTCATGAGATGTAACGCGGCAGGCCAAGTGCCGAGATGGAACTTGTTCAGCGCGCGCTTCCTTCTCTCACTTTTCTCCTGATTCGAACAATGGCGGGGTGTGGATTCGCTTAGGTATGACCGGTGGCGCTGGAGCAGTGGAATGAACGTGAGCGACCCCCCCACCTCGAATAGATTCCGTCCACTGGTACCCGCGGGGCTGATTGGTAATCACTAAAAACATCGGCATTCTGGGCGGAGTCCCGCCCGTGCTTCCAAGTCCGAGGTGATCTCATAAACCACATCTTACGTCTTGTAGTGTAGAACTTTACAGAACATTATCTCGCCTGTTTCTCATTCCCGTCACCGAACTTCTCCTCCCCACCATCACCGTCATCTTATGGCCGAATGAACGTCGCACGGCAAGCGAGCAAAATGACCAACATCAACATCAAGATCATCTCGGACCCCGTCTGCCCTTTTGTGAGACGCCCTTGCTCATGATGGATCATCATTGCCGAACCCACTAACACAACCCCGGACAAAAGTGTTACCTTGGCAAAGCCCGACTGGACCGGGCTATCGACCTGTACAAGAAGACGTACCCCGGCGGCAAGGACGACACTTTCAACGTCACATGGTCGGCCTACTACCTCGACCCGACGGCGCCCCCCAAGGGCCGGCCCATCAATGAGCGCATGGCGGAGCGCTTCGGCGCCGAGAGGGTCCATATGATGCACGAGCGCATGAAGCAGATGGGCGCCGCCGAGGGCTTGAACTTCACCTTTGGCGGCAAGGTCGGTCACACACGCGACGCACACCGCACGATCCAGCTGGCCAAGTCCAAGGGCCCCGATGTCGAGAACGCCGTCATGGACTCCATCATGAAGAGCTACTTTGAGGAGAACGGTGACGTGACGAGCTGGGACATGATTGTTGACGCGGCGGTCCGCGGCGGCCTCGAGAGGGACGAGGTGCGGAAGTGGCTCGAGGAGGGCAAGGGCGGACAGGAGGTCGACAAGCAGGTTGAGGATGCGTACCGCATGGGCGTACGCGGGGTGCCGCACTTCGTCATCAACGACAAGTACGAAGTCGGCGGCGCACAGGATGCGGGCGAGTTTCTCAAGCAGATCGTGGCGGCCAAGGAAAAAGGCGGCCAAGGGTCGAGCGGACAGACCGGGCCGTCGTGTTGAGCATTCAGAGACCAGCGATCTGCCTCTCTTTGCTTGCTGAATCCAACAAAAAGTTCAACGTCATACCGTAGAGCTCCTCTGTCGCATTGTGGGTATCATGTCGTAAGAACCGTCGTAAAAGTGCCCTCCAGCTTTCACATGTTCAGCAATCCTCCCAGATCCTTCTCCATCGTCCGCAGTCGCGCCTGAAGCTCGCGCTTCTTCTTGTCGAGCTCCCGCACGATCTCCTCCTCGGCCCGTAGATCGTCCTCTGTCATGAGATCCTCATCCTCATCCTCATCTTCCTGCTCGCCCTGTTGTCCCTCGTCGCCCTCGTTCATCCAGTGGTCCTTGTTCATCCTTTCGAGGGAGGCCTGGTGCTCGGCAACCTTCGCCTCGTAGTACGCGAGCGTATTAGTCTGGTGCGCGTACCGCGACCGCAGCTGGGGAATCCGCTCGAGTGCGCCGGGCAGGGCGTATACGCTGCACAGCTTCGCCGCACCCTTGAGGAGGACCTCGACGTCGACGTCGCCACCCTTGCTGGCGGCCTGACGCTCGCCACGACGCAGCTGGGCGTGGAGGTCCCCGCCCAGCACGGCAGAGACGGCGGTGTGCCGACGGGGACCACCCATATTGCCGACGCCGCTGCGGGAGCTTCCTGGGGGCGGGCCTGTAGTGACTTCGCCTGAGGCGACGTTGAAGACGGTCTGGCGTCGGCCGGAAGCTGGTTTTGAGTCTGTGTTCTGCGAGGCGGAAGAGGATTGCGACGGCGGGGGAGGGGGGACGGAGAAGAGAGCGCGCTCGTGAGCTTCAGTGTCGCGGATGAGGGAGGTAATATCGGCGTTGTAGAGCATCGCGTTTGTGAAGATTTTTGGAGGCGGGAACCTGGTAAGCTTGTTAGAGATCCGGTCAAACGTCTCGAGAGCAACCGATTGGACTGCGGGGGAAGAGCGAAGCGTACGGGAGGGAATCGATACCCTCGCAGGAGAGAGCAATCTGCTCCAGGTGGATTGATAGCATCGACATTATGGTGAATCGGCCTCAGGGCGAAGTTGCAGTTTTGGAGGTGCGTATCTTGCGTCTTATGGGCGATTGAGGGTTCTGCTGGGTGGCATTCCACGCAGACCGGTTCCGCAAGATGTTTGTTAAGACGAGGTTCAATGTTTACAAAGTGCCCCACCAAATAAATGGCGGTTTGGAGAAAGAGGGCGCCAGCGAACCGCGTCGTTGCTTTGCGCACGGACCAGGTATCTACCCAAGGTTAGGTACAAACCTGGGTGTACCTTGGGTGCTTTGTACAGGTAGCTAGCTGTTCGTCCCAAATCCCAAATCCCAAGCGCCAAGCATTTCTGTTTGAGAACGTCCATTCTTCATTAACTCTCCAACAACGTCGGCCTTCAATCACGATCTGGAGTTCCCCTTGAAGATTGGAAGCAACTTTCGTAACGATTCGTAACTTGGCCAAGTATAATCTTGCGACTTCGGAAGACCTTCATCCGGAGCCATCCTTGACTTGTACAACTTGACAGAAGCGATTAGTAGTATCATTGACGGCTGCCGAGGCTCGAGGCAGACAAACACAAAAGGTTGGCATTGAAAATATTGCCCTGGGGCCGAAGGCCGGTTGCGAAGCATCTGCACTGCATGTGGCCGTGGGGGCAGTGTGCTCTACGACATTGCTGACAGCCAAGCCTTGTAATGTCTTTCCCGGTGTTGAAACGGTCGACGGGCAAGGCAGTTGGAAGTCGATTGAACTCAGTTGACAACGATACATCGCTGCACTCGGGCTCGGCTCATTGTCAGTCAGCCCGATGCCCAGCCACTCAGCTTACAAGGACACGGATCAAAGAAAGTGATCCATAATCAAGGCTGCAGTATCCTAAGACAACGGGCTCTTTTACTGCTGCCTGATCTATATCGCTGTGTGCCGTGCCTTGAACATTTAACGATCGACGACTCTCGGGTTGAGCGTGCCGATTTGCTGGGCGTGCGACGTCAGACCTGACAACAGCTCGGGACTCTCTCTCATTGGACCTTTGCCGAGTCTGCTAGCGCTCTCTTCTCTCTTTCTCTCTCTCTCTCTCTCACGCGCGCGCGCTATCCAACGACTTTGGGCGCATACGCTGCAGCCTGTGAGTACAGTAAGGCATTTACACGCACACAAGACAGCTCCACTTCAAACCTCCGTTTACAGCATCTCTCCCGATGGCAATGCGACCGGGATGGCCGCTATTAGCTTGCTTTTCGTGCATATCCGCGGTAAGCATCTCGGAGCCTCGCATATACTTTCTGTTGCTCTTGCACTGCCCAGATCTGACTGCATGCCACTCCTGCGCATTTCATATCACTACTTGCTCGTATTAGCCATTAGCCCCCCCTCTCCTGCCTCGCCAAAATGAACAAAAGTGGCAGGCACATGGAAAAAGGAAGGCTAAAGGCAATAACGGGCGAACAACGGCAGCGGGGCGGCGCCCTAGCCGCTGACGGTCGGCACGCCCTAATAATTGGCAAGTGGCCCTGACCCAGTGATCAGCCAAGAAGAGCGACGGTGTCGTCAACCCCGGCCGGTTCAGCCAACTCAGCCCGCCTTGCACCTGCGCCAGTTCGGTTCAGTACCCTCGCCATACTATGTACAACCCGAGTCTACCCTGCCTACCTAGTAGTAGGTAGGTAGGTACATCGAAAACCACACTAGGATCTCTGAGTTGTTGGTGGAAGTTTCCTCATGTCTCACCGGCCTGCCATCTCCATCCTCCTTCCCCGCGATATAATGCCCCGTGAGCCCCCGCCCTCCTCCTCCCGCTGGTCACTTGATCGGTTGCCCTTTATGTCATCGTCGTCGCTACTGCCGCTATCTCACATTCCATTTTGGCTGTATATTGTCCTCGCCATCCCGCTTATGATGGCTCTCGGTCTTTTCTCCATCCCAGGCTTGGGCGCATGGTTCGGGGTGCGTTACCAATCACAACATAAACGTGCCAAGCTGCTCAAGGAGAGGATGGGCTCTACAAAGTTCCTGGGCTCCCAGGTCGGAGGGAGCACCGTCATCAATTACTCTTACACCGACTTCCCCTACAAGCTGCTCGCTTGGGATATCTACTACTTCTTCGAGTACATCTGGGCGCTGCCGTGGATCGTCTGGCCCGTCACTCCGGCCGACTCTGGCGACCTCGACGAGCTGGCCTTCACCAGACAGAACCTCTTTTGCATTTTCATGCACATTATTCTATTTGTTCTACAGCTTGTCTTCGTTCTGGCCCTGCCCTTCGCCATTATATTGCCAATCTGGGTGGCTGGGCTCGCTTCGGCCGCCTTCTTCACTCTCAACTATCTGCTTTGCCTCCTGATCAACGGCCCGACGCTCACGTACACCTCGGACCCCAAGTATGCCCCCGAGCTGCCGGAGCATGCGCACGAAAAATGGGTTTTCCTTAACGGTGTTGCTGTGGGGTAAGTCGACATGCCCTTCCTTCGAACCTCTATCCTCCTTGTTATTGGGGAATAACTCGACTTTCCCTGGTCTTTTTTTTTTCTGCTTGTCTAGGCGCCATGACTATTTGCAAACTTGCTTGAGAACATGCACTGATATTGCAACAGGGAACACTGGATGAAGAACAACCTCAACAGGCTGGCTCTTACCTTCAAGCGGCCTATTCTGGGTATCCACAACCAAACGTCAGGAATCCTCTTCGACGTTGTCGAATGTCTCATCCAGCGGAACCTGGGCTACGCCACGTATGATGTACGGATGTGCTACCGCATTGTTAAGGAAACGCTCTACAACCCTCAATACTCCAAAGTTGTTTTTGTTCTGCACTCACAGGGCGGCATCGAGGGTGGTCTCGTTCTTGATTGGTTGTTGCAGGAACTGCCACAAGACCTCCTTGCCAAACTCGAGGTAAGCGGACGAGATTCCCTTGGCCTTCGCACAGGCAGCTAACAATACAATATCAGGTATACACCTTTGGAAACGCTGCAAACCACTTCAACAACCCTCATCGGCACGCATTGTCCCAGGCTCTGGCGCAGAATAATCCCGCTGCCATGACTCTGACCACCACTACGATGACACATGGAGAGCTCACCAGCAGCCCCATATCCTCAGTCACCAACAGTGACCTTGGTCAGGTTTCAAGTCTGAGCAGCGGAAGCAAGAGTCAGAAGAGCCTGTCTGGAACCCCAACCATTCGTAATGAATCATCGTCGACTTCGTCACGGTCCTCGACTGCAGCGCTAGACAGAGCCATAGGCCACGTTGAGCACTACGCCCACTCGACCGACTTCGTGGCGATTTGGGGTGTCCTACACTTCTGCACGTCCTTGACTGCTGACCACACCATGCCACGCTTCATCGGGCGGCTATTTGTGCGCGCCTCGGAGCGCGGCGGCCACCAGCTTTGCCAGCACTACCTCGACGGCATGTTCCCTCTCGCCAGGGACCCGAAGACGGGTGAGTTCATCGGGGCTTCGGACGAAAACGAGTTCATGGAGAGCGAGATCCAGGTCGGTCGGGAAGGCGACGCTGGATTCAACGCCCGCGAGGCGTTTGAGGTGTCGTATCTCGGCCGTGGCTTCGCAAGCGAAGTTGAATTCCACGGAGAGCACGTCAAGGGAAGGCACAGGAAGAGAACGGTCAAGGTCAAGGATCTCTCCCGACTGTGGCTGTATCGCAACGGTCGCAGCCCTCCCGAGACGCCGCCACTGCTGTACACGGAGAATGGCATTGTTAGGAACGCGACTCTGTGAGGAGCCATTGTGGTGCTTTGGCGTTTTAGTTCATGGTCGCATAGATTGATACCCTCTCATTACTGCTACTGCTGTACACGGAGAATGGCATTGTTAGGAACGCGACTCTGTGAGGAGCCATTGTGGTGCTTTGGCGTTTTATTTCGTGATCGCATAGATAGATAGCTTCTTATTACCCTCTGTTTCCATCGGTCTGTTTGCAGCAGTATCGCTTTCACGCTATCGCGATGATGAAATGAGATCAACGAGCTAAATGCCCATGTGTCAAGGTTTCCTCTAGCGACTCAGCTGATGACGCCATGAAGGATGTCATGTCTATATGTCAACGCTCTCGTCTGTTAGATTGGCTTAGTACGGTTAGAGGAGGAAGATGGAGAAAAACTGCCCTATAACACTAAACACTATCCCTATTAAGGGAGTGTGTTGTAGAGAAGTCATGCGAATCTCAACCAATAGTTCCCAAACAAACCCACAAACAGCTCTTATGTTATCTATTTACACTCCTCAAGCGTTGCTTCTGCCTTCTTCGTTAGCTCCCGATTCACTTCTGCGGCTAACGAGTCGTCGGCAGACCAGGTCACAAGGTGCGACGTCAGATTTCCCATCCAACGGCACAGGCGGCTGACTTTTCACAGGAAGCAAAGATCAAGATGTTGTCCTGTCTCGCCGCGGTCGGAGCGGTTTGGAGCGTCAAGCGAGCCATCTGAATGGATTTCTTTGCTCCCCCGGCCATCGGCATCCCTTGCTACCAGATCCAGACGGAGATCCTGGGCATACCCAAGCAATACGGCCTCTTCTGGTCCGGTCCTCCCCGCCTCCAGGTACATCAAGGCAGCTTGTATCTGATCGCGTACTTATTGACCGCTTTCCCTGTTGTGGTCTCGGTGAAAGCAATGTTGTTTTTGAGGAACGAGAACACGAAAATGTGGCGCTGTATGGGGATTACGGCTTGCATGGCAACCTGAAGCGCCCTATCCTGGTATATGTTGTATGTCGACCTCTGCCGTGCTCCAGACTATGAATGAAATGATGGGAAGCCACACAATGATTGAAATTGGCCTCCTCATATGACTGAGAAGTTGCACCGGCTTCCTCGCCCCAAAGGGTTTGCATGGTAATTGTAGAACGCAGTTAAAGAGCAGGAGAATGGCGCGAATCACCTGAGGTGGCAGGGAGACCCTGAGCCTTCATGGTATCTCGAAACATCTGAAAGTCACCCGCCTGGAGAACTGCATAGTCTGGGAGGGAGGATGGGCAGGGTGAAGCACCCGAGAGGAGCCATTGTTACGTTAAAGGAAAAGAACGGCGCAATAGACAAGCTAGTAGGCTTCTGTAGCTCTTGACTGCGTACAACCTAGACATTTATATGTCTAGGAAAAGGAAGTGAAAATAAATTTGTCAAGGGTCGGCCTGATATCTTAAATCCTATTCCTCAAGTCAAGAATAGCACTACTCAGCAGCACACCTAGACACGCCTGACTGCATTTAGACCCTGAGTGTTCTCGGCGCGTCAAAAGCACTATAATTAGGACAGCAAAAACAGACTGGTCCCCTTGGAAGAGTTATTGCTTAAGTACGTAAGAGGTAGATAGTTACTCCTAATACTTCTTCAGAAGCATTCAAGTGTTGTTGAAACTACCTAGTCAAGTTGCGTCCCTCTTCTCAATCAGCGTCTGTGTGTATCATCAACGCATTCCGGTAACGTAATTAAAGTTTGTCTATCTAGGTGGCCCCATATATTTACATAACACGCTGTGTGACAACCGGGCCCAAGCTGGTGACAATTCTCGGTGACGACTGTCTTACCGAAGGGTGAGGCTCTCAGTAGGAGGTGTGGGTGGGGCTCGGCCTTATCAGAATGACTCACTGAGTGGCGGGTTGTGGGCCCTTCGTGCATAACCTCCCTGGTCCAAACTGCAGCGGGACCCTAGCTAGCTAGACATCAGTCGAATCGACCGGGAAACAATGCCAGCGAAGCGAACCCATGCCATGTCAAACCAGCATGGATACGTTTTACACGTGTGTGAAGATTTTATTCGAGGCCGGTCATGCTCTCCCCTACACGTGTGTAACGCTTGACAAGCACAGACGGACGACCTTGGGAACCGATTTAGGGGAAGAAATAAAAAAAGAATTTGGTCATTTCGACAGTGGTCTGACAGTCATCAGCCACGCAAATGATTCATCTCGAGGCAGCTGGTTACACACCGCCTCAAGCCTAATCACCGCCATTCCCAGCAACTTGGGAATGCGGCTTGCCGAGAGTGGCGCGTGTCCCTGAGCTAAGATAAGGTAGGGTGCTTGATCAACAGCGGATATTGGCTTCCGTGTGTGTAGGTATCACCTTGGACACTACACACCTTCTCCGAGCCCAAGGGTGGGAACCAGGAAAAAATAGATGCTTGAGCTTTGCTGCTTTGCCCACCACATGCCTCAGCCCTGGCATCTGGTTCGCGCCGCCTCTAATGTCCAATGTCTATCGGGCCGCCGAAAAATTGACGCAAGCCGGCCCCCCCTGCGCCGGCATCGCACCATGGTGGGTACCTTTTGCCCACCATGAATCCAGCAAAGGAGCTTAACAAGCTTCAAAGCGGCGAAAGGGAGGCATTCCAGACGCGCCAGAGTCCAGAACGACGACCGGGGGGTGTTCGGGGTCCCATAATTAAAACTGGAAATACCCGAGCGATCTCGAAACCGTTTGCCGCCATCCTTTTTTTTTCCTGGTTATCGAACCTATCGATGTTGGGAACGCGACTCACCAACAAATTTTCCACTCTGACCCTTAGGGAGGGTATTTATTTTTGTCTTCTCTGGGTGGCCTTCAAGCAGTGACATCCCCTTAGTCGTCTTTTTTCTCTCTTTCTCTTCCACACGAAATCCAAAACCCTTTCTGCAGACAAGGAGAACCCTCAAAACCACCAACGATATTCTTAACACCAAAACGACATGAACACGTTCCACATCAAGCGTGGCTCCGTTCGGCAGGGCAAGTACGACGTCTATTGGAGCAAGGACAATGAGTGGGCCATCATCGACGATGAAGAAGAGGAGGAGAACGAGCGCCGGCTGAAGGAGGCCTACCACCACCACCCCCGCCTCAGCTCGCGATACCTGACCGCCGGCCTCTTCGTCGTCCTGGTGCCCGCCATGTGCGGTTTGCTCTGGTGCTGCCGGTGAGTTCTCCCTCGAGAAAATACCTCTCCATCTCGTGTGGACCGGGTTCGGTTTTACTAATACGGCAAGCAGACTGAGACGACGCATTTGACCACAAAGTGTCGCAAGGGAAAAAAAAAGTTTAAAAAAAAGGAGTCGACTCTTGTTATCGGCTTACCAACCAGATTACGACCCATGGTTTTACGCAGAACTTCCATGTTCTTCGCACAAATTCTCGCACCAGCGCAGACGAGACAGCGGCAGGCGCGCAGATCGTTTCCCAAAGCGCTGCTCGTTTGCTTCCTGCGAAGCCACCATGAAGCACCACTCACGGCATGCCCAAGACTGGATTTCTTCAACGAATTCTTCATCCGGCAACCAGGCAGCGTGCTGTGCAACCCCACTCCACCCTACTTTCTCCCCGTGTTCGGATTCTCTTTCTGGGCATTCCGATTGCTCAGCCGTGGCGATGGCAGCATTCGACCCGACATGAGACGTTCTCTTCACGAACGCCGAATCGGATGACCCGTACCAGCAAATCTGCACACTCGGCAGCGCCTTCGAACGCGCCCACGACATTGAGCGTCAAGTCGACAACCACTAGATCCAGCACGACGAAACGGTTCGCCTTGGACAGCGATACCGCAATCTAGCGCGTGCTCACTGGGGGGAATCATCGTTTTCGTTGGGCGTTGTGGATGCACGCCGTGTCGTAAAAAGAGAACTGCATTCGCGTCAGGCCGAGCGCATACCCGACCGCGATGGTATGGCGGTGCTGCGTCTGTTGGGTTGCTCGCGACCCGCGACGTATGATCACTAGGCCAGGAGGACAATTTTGCGAGATGCTGCATAACGACGTGGTCTGTTCAATTTGGTACGGAGATGTTGGATGGGGGGGAGGGGGGATCATGGATGGGGAAAGGGTCGGCCGTTGGGAATGGGTACTATCTGCCTCGTATACATCAAGTCAACGGAGCAGCGGCTCGGTGAGAGCAGTTATACATGACATAAAACCATTGGCCTCAGACGTCACAATTGGGCTCAAGGCGCTGGCCCCGCCCCCTCCCTACTACTTAGACGAACGCGCGTATACGAACGAAATAGAAGCAGCACGTCGAAACAACCGACTCATCCCAGGCTCCCACTACACCGCACCGACGATGCTGAAGTAGTCCGACACATATCGGATGCACTTCTTATAGCCTACGCGACAGCATGTTACGACTTTTTTTCTTCTTTTTTTTTCCTTTCTTTTTTCTCGAAAGAATTCCTACGTTAATAGAGAGAAACGCGGATGTCAATACGGGAAGGAGTGGTGGGGCTGAATCCATGATTGTATCAGGGAAGGAGGGTTGACGGCGGGAGAATCAGAGCCGCCGGCCGGCGGCGTGCCCCGGCCAACCCTTGCCATGCTGTTTTACGAATCCAAAGAATTTTAAAACACTAACTCGGAACTTGGGCCGATGTCTGGGAGGGGATCAGTGCGTCGGAACCATCACGCCACCCAACGAACGAACGTTATTAGCAATATCGAACGACCAGGGGGGGGATCCCGGGGGGGGGGGGGGGGGTTCCTCTACATGCCGCATTCCGGTGTCTCTTGGCGGCGCAAGGAACCTGTTCACTTCAGACGACGGCATTCAAAGGCTGGTTAAGGTTCACATCGCCTCTCAATAGATGGATAGTCCAAGCGTAAAGCGAATAATGTATAATGAGCATTATCTTAATTAAGTCAAGGTATCATCAAGTCATCAATGTGTGTGCCATGCCAGTTCATCATTAACCCGTCCAAATACCCCTTTCCAAATCGTACAGGTACACGCTCTCCGGGCGACGTGGTGTGTGTGTGTGTGTGTGTGTGTGTGTGTGTGTGTGTGTGTGTGTGTGTAGTAGTGTGTCTCGGATGCGCCCCCGCCTCAGGTCTTCAACTCGACGTCGCGGCGGTACGTCCACGTGGTGGCGTCCGAGTAGACGGGCTTGTATCCCAGAACGCCCTCGACGAGCGAGAGGATGACGGTCGGCGTGAGGATGAAGGCGCCGCCGTACTTGTGCTCGGTGGCCAGCACCAGGCGGTCGATGCTGGCGCCCATGCCGAAGGCGCACTGATGCAGACGGACCTCGACGGCTGGGGGCTGTTGATTGTTCAGTGTCAGCTAAAAGTTCGAAAAGGAATGTGAACCAAGAGACATTCAAAGAGAAACAAAATCGCGACACACGTAATGGGGAAAGGGGGAAAAAAAAAGAGGAAAAAAGACTTTGGGTGTCGCACCTTGCTGCTAATCTGGTGGTTCGTCCTGCGCCAGCGCTTGAAATAGTCGGCGAGGAACTTGAGCGTCGGGCTGTGGCTGCACTGGACCTCGATCTCGTGGGCGCCGCGGCTGTATATCATGAGGTGGTATGGCGGCTTGAGGAGCAGGTCGTCCGGACGGGGCAGGGCGTCGGCGCGGGGCATGAAGTCCGGGGGCGGCTGGGTCGCGGTTGAGCTCACCGAGGGGCCGCGGCGGTGGCGGGCGGCGGCGTCGGGGCCGCTGATGGAGAGGCGGCTCACGCGGGTGTCGATTGCGTCGACGTCGTCCCAATCATCGGCGTCGGGCGAGGCCGTGTAGGGCGGTAGCTGGCGGTGGTCGGCGAAGCAGTCCTTGAGCTCGGCCTGAAAGAGCGGCTGGAGGTTCACCGGCGTGATACGCTGGCGCCGGGGGAGGGAGACGAGGAAACCGCCGCGGTCGTCGGACCACGACGTCGAAACGTCGTCTCCGGTGGAGACCTGCCGTTTGCGTGTTAATTGGTCTGGTTCTTGACGTCCCCGATTCTAGGAACCCTCCGGTTCCTTTGGGTTTGACTTGGTTTGGTGTTGTGTCACACTCACTTCGATAAAGAGCCTCAGTCTCGACCAGGTGATCTTGAGTTTCTCTAGCAGCGTCTCGGTCCACTCCTCGTTCTTTCGATCGTCGAGGAGCTCCGCTGCGGCGCGGCACCACGCCTCGACGGTGCCGGCAACGGCGATGACGGCGTCAGCCCTGTCGGTGTACCCGGCGTCGAGCTCGGCGAGGAGGAGCTGCCACTCGGGGTTCACGTCGACCTCGAGACCGAGCACGTCCTGGAGGGACTTGAGGGACTGCTGTAGGTGGCTGTCTTCCTTGGTCCAGTGGTCACGGATAGCAACCTTCACTTTGAGGGGTCTAAGGAGGAGTCGGTTAGCGTGTAAGTCGGGCGATGGGGGGGCAGTGAGGCTCACAGAGTTGTCATGCCAGGCTCAAATTCCCGTTGGTTCGTGTATATAGTGTGTGTGTGTGTGTGTGTGTGTGTGTGGGTGGGTGGGTGGGTGTAGATGTTGGTGAGATCTTTGTGATGAGAAATTGGATCGAGATGAATTCCGTCAACTGGTCACGGGCATCTGACGACTGATATCTGCTTTCAACCACCCGTAAAGGAAGGACCCACCGGGTGACATTTGTGTGCGCCCGCCGACTAAGTAGGTACACTAACCAGCCCGCTTCCCCCCCCCCCCCCCCCTGGTCGCATCCCAGCGCCAAGCTGTGCGCCCAGACACGCCCGGCAGCGCGTAACGCAGCTGAGCATGTGGCGTCACATCACGCCCATGTTGGGCGAGGCGGAGTCGCCGTTCACACACGCTTGCATGGATGGTGGTGAAGAGTCACACTTTACGTATTAATGAGAATTGTGGCCTCCATTCGGCACATTTGGGTTTGGGTTTAAACCATGGACAAAATACGACCCTGATCAGTCGCACATCTCTCTGGATCGCTGCGATCGACGGACAACTTACAAGGGGTGCGGCCTCCCATCCGTTCGATGGTGGAACATCAGGTCAGATGATTAGCCGATGGTTTTTTTTATCGTTTGGCGCAAAGATCACGGGACCACATCGTGTGCGAACATGAAGACAACATGCCACCGCCTGCATCGGCATGTCGGGCAGAGACACATGAACAACTCGGGCGCAAGTCTGACAGGCACGTTGCATCGGGTTTCGACACCCGGGATTATCCTTGACTACCTACCTACTACAGTACAGGCTACCGATGCCTACCTGGTTCTGACAGGCCTCAGAGAAAGAGGTCGGAGGACTCCCAGAGATACCGTCGGACGGTCAGAGAAGAAATCGGAAGGGATCACACGGAGGAAGTGCGACGCTACGGTCCACTCGACGGAGCAGAGCACTGTAGGGTTTAGTAATAGTGTAGAATGGCATGGCATGGCATGGCACTGCCTAGCCCGCGGAAACGGTAAACGGTCCGGACCGAGAAGAGAAATAGAATGACGGGTCGTGATGTCATGTGGTCAACCAACCACCTTGCATTGCACCATTCGGGCTGCCTCTCTCTCCCCGCGGCCACCGAGTCCAAGTCTTTATTTGGCGTAATAATAACGAAGCGTATGCCTGTATGTGCATGCGTGTACTGTACACAAGACTGTCGGTGTCGATAAGGCGGGGAGTTTGTTTGCATGTTGGTGTTTGTGTGTTTGTGTGCGTGTCTCACTATCAACCAACAACCATTGAAGGCCCAACTCGAGCCTCGACTCCATCCTAAATGCCACCTCTCAAGCTGTGAAATAATATACGGATGCGATACAAACTCACAATCTCTGAAGCTCCGCACCCAAGACAAGAAAAAAGGGGCCTTGATGTGCTGTGATGTAGGCTGATGCGCCGAGGCGGCAAACATCACCGCGACCGCTGCTTGGCGGTGTTGCGGCTGCTATAGATTCGCCTAGGCCTCCCCGCTAAACCCCTTGGCTGAGGTTGGCAGCACACCTTGGCGCCCTGGGACCACCTGGAAGAAAAGGGGAAAGACATAAGAAAGAAAGAAAAAACTTAGTTGACTACAGCCTTCGTTGCGCCATTATTGCATCGTGACACCGTCGTGTCCACATCCGGCCAACGTCCACGGGGAAACGAATTTTATTCCCCTTCATCACGACAACTCAGTCGCCATAGGGCTGGGCGCTAGTATGCATGGCACTCGCAAGGACGTCAAAGAATGACTATCGATTTTGAACGCAAAGTCGGCCTAGCTTCGTCGCCCAAGCGCGGGCGTGAGGACGACTGCTCTCCCGCGGACGTGTGGAACGAAGCCCTGGCCCGTGGCTGTCGACTGGCCAGGACCGATGATGAGGCTGTCTCGTAGTCGAGAAGCTGAAAGAAAGGAGGGCTGGAGGTGGAAATGAGGGATGGAATGGGCGACTTTCACCCGTTATGTTGATGAAGACGAGTGAAGAATAAAAAGCCGTCGGCCCTCGTCGCACGATACAGGGCATCCAGGAACATTCGGCACCAACATTACCCTCTACAATCTACTTGATCGCTTTGGTCTCATCTTATCAATCGCCGCAACTCATCACAATGTCCCGCCTCCCTCCTGCTGAAAAGCTGCCCCTTGCTCTGCGGAAAAACAGTACGTCGCAAGCTTCAGTCATGCCCGCAAATTTTGTTCAGCTACTTACACACATGCAGTCCGCGATGAGTGGGACAGCAAGAAGGAGGACCTCCAAAAGGAGCTCTCCAACGTTCTCGGCGCCGAGTGGACGCTGGACGAGATCAATCCCAACGAGCTCTACCCTTACGCCGGAGATGGCTACGCCAAGCAGTCCCTCGGCAGCTGCATCGCACAGTGAGCCGCCTCTCTCTCTCTCGGACCTCGGGACGGCCTGGTTCCACCACTTCATCGATGCTAACGTTGGGGATAGGTACGTGTCCTCGGCCATCTCCAACCTCAAGACCTTTGCCTCGACCTACGGCGATGATGGCAAGGCCGAGCTCAACTCCATCTGCCACGCCCGCTCTCTGCTCCTAGACCTCGACGACCGGCCCGACAAGAGCGCCCGCGTGACGTACTGCGGCGTGCTCGTCAGGGAAGGCGGCAAGCTGGCCATCGTCTTCTCTGAGGGAAAACTTGGCACCAACGCCGACTACGCCGTCGACGGCCCGGGTCTGCTAAAGGCTCTCAACGACGCCCCGCCCGCCCCCGGGTCCGACAACGCCATGAGTTACGCCGCGCGCACGTCGGTGCGGTAGGACTACGACGAGCAGATTGAGGAGACGCGCAAGAAGCTGGCCGACATGCTAGAGCGGCCCGACGTCGTGCTCGTGCCCAACTTCGAGGCCAACTTTGCCCGCCTCCGCGAGGCCGCCAAGAAGAAGGGGAGCGAGGTGAGGGACGATTGGGAGGGGAACCTAGGCGGCTTCACGAGGATGTACTTTGAGGGGCTGGAGTACCAGATGGCCTACCAGAAGTTTGGCGACGACGACCTGCTGCGCGAGGGCTTCAACGAAGCGGTCGAGAAGGGCGAGTTCCACTTCCGTATCGTGGATAAGATGGCCTACGGGACCTACGGGGAGGTCGTCGTAGAGGACGGTACCATATACGTGCAGGTACGTCGATTCGAACCGTGGCAGATACCGCATCGCGGTGCATCACTTGCTGACTTTCGAGTAGACTCGGGCCCACCACTTTGGCTCCAATGTCAACTACGCCGCCGAGAAGATCTTGGACCAGCTTTGATGGATCAAGACAAAGCGTTCGTCGAGAACTGGAGAAAGCGTAGCTGGCATATTCAGCATGGACAATGAATTGATCTCGGCCGACACGATTGTGAGCTGGTGCACAACACGTTCAGGTTATCTGAGACAACTCAAGAGGAAGAAAAAAAAAAAGAAAAAAAGAAGAAATGTCGGCATTAAATAATCATCAAGGATGCATGAAATGATTCTATCTTGACCTGTGACACCAGCGTCTGCTGCTTACGAGCGATCCGCACATCGTTGTCTCAAGAAAGGCGCCCACGACACCACCAATCACCATGCCTCCTGTTTCGCCAGCGGTGACGAGCCCAAGGCTCAGCTCCCGATCAGCCTGGTCTTCGTGTTCCTTTCTGACCCTCGCTAGCACGTTGACGTACAGTGAGCCACCCGCAAACCCGACTAGGAACGCCGAGAGGAAGGCAATGTACGTGGATATGAGGAAGACGGCGTTGAACAGCGCGACGGCGGTCCATACGCCCAAAGCGACAACCTGCAGCCTGAGACTCCGCACCGGGAGGAAAGTGATCGACGACCGACCCAGCAGGGTCCCCAGATGCATGACGACGCCGTACGTGGCAAAAAAGTGAGAGAACGTCTCAAAGGCGGACCCGTCCAGCGGTCTGGCGAGACCGTACTGCAGCAGAGATAGCGAAGCCGAAGCCACGACGAGCGGAAATATGTCCGACCGGGCCAAGCCGCGGAGGGTTCTTAACTTCCCGATCATCCCCCACTGGCTGTTGGACTGCGGCGGTGTATTCTCATGCCGACCCAGGAACGACCGCCCCTCCTCGGCGCTGGCGTCATCGCGATTCTTCCCGCGCTCGTCGTCGTTACTTTTGCCCCTTTTAGTGAGGCTCTGCGGCAGAAGGACAAAGTAGGAGACTAGGAACATGGCAACCAGGTGGTAGATGTACCCCGTGGCGCTCCTCAGGACCTTCCCCGCGCCGTATGTCAGCAGAAACGGCCACACGGCGTTCTGGAGCAGTCCCGCGCCGGTGCCGAAGCCCCACCCGACTAGCGCCGGCGCGCCGGCGCGCCCGACCATCCCGAGACAAAAGACCTCCGTCGTAGCCGAAGCGACGGAGGCGAGGACCGTCGTGAATATGCGCACGGGGGGCATGACGTTGGGCGGAGTGTCGTCGGCGATGCGCTTGGCGAGGAGCCAGCACGCCGCGACGACGAGGGGTCGGATGCGGCATGGGGCGCGGTGGACGACGAACGGCAGCGACAGCTTGGTCAGGAGCGCCGGCAGCAGCTCGATGAGAAGAACGACATGTCGGGGGTAGGGGATGATGAGGTAGTTGGCTGCGTGGATGATTGACGGGAGGATTGTGTTTGAAAGGCCTTTTATGCTCGTGTTAGTGACGGTGAACGGGAGCTGCTGCGCAGCGGCTTAGAATGAGGTTTTGGTCCGGCCAACGACGCTCGCTGCACAGAAAACCCACCTATCAACGCGAACCCCCAAAAGAGCCGCGGATTCTCCAACGAGCGTGCCAACGCGGCGGTCCGGCCCGTCGTCTTGCTCTTTGGTGTCATTGCGCAAGGGAGTCTGACAAAGTTCCGGAAACCCTCCCTCCCTCGCGTCGCGCAGGCAGGCGAGGATTCTGGGCCATCCCGTCAGGATATATATATATATATATATATGAACTGCCAAAAATAAAGAAGGAGAAAAGAGAGGCGCTGATATGGCTTCTAAAGCCAAAGACATCCGTCGGTCCATCGAAGAAGCGTTTACGGACCACGTGCTCCTGCCGCGGCGGCCAAGCCTGTGTGGGGCGGTCAACGGGGGACCGGCACCGACGAATCGAATCCACCACGTGGGACGGGTTCGGCAACTGATAGGGAAGGTGGCCGCCGTCACACGGTAACGCGGTACCCCCTATCGAATGCCGCGAGAGCCGACAGGAGGCATCGCAATGTATGATGATCATTGTGCCTTGTCAATTGCCTAGGCGCTCATACTTATTAGAGAGCTTCTAGGAAGTTTCTCTATTGCAAGAAAGGGGATGTGCAATACGCGTCATGCATCGTGGCATTTCCCGCCGTCCATCCGTCGGCGACAGTAAGCGCACCCGTCAATGGCTTCCAATTTCATTATCTGGCGCCGGAGCTCGAGGTCCAAGGCGGGCGACCGTAACGGCCTGTTGGACGGCGATGCGCAAGGCCGTTGCCGGTTCCCGGTCTCGCCGTCCGAATGGCTGCGCGTTATGTCGAGATTCATGCTGCCCGTTGTGTTCTTTGGCACTTTCGGCTATGTTCTGATGAGCTGGGTAAGTTCCGCAGATCCAACCCGCCGCATTTGCGCATTGCTTATTCGATCACCGCAGTTTCCGACGGAGTTCGGACGCTTCGTGGGCGGTGGTGGCGTCGAGAGGACGATCACGCGGTCCCATCTCGAGAGCCTCCACACACCGGGCCGTGTCGACAACGGCGGCTCCCGTCGACTCCGGCTCTTCATGCCCGCCGACGGGCCGAGCGTCAACCTCTGCAAGACCATCATGTCGGCCGTCGCGCTGGGCTACCCAACGCCCACCCTCTTGAACTGGAACGGCGAGTTCAACCGCCCGGACTGGCACTTTGCCGGGTCGCACATTGCGAAGCTGGAATCCCTCTTGGCGGCCATCGACGACCTGTACGAGCGGGACGACAGCGACGTCAATGAGAACGATCTCCTCCTCCTCGTCGACGCCTACGACGTCTGGTTCCAGCTGCCTCCGTCCGTTCTCATCGAGCGCTTCCACCGGCTCAACCGCAAGGCCGACGCCCGCGCGCGGAAGCAGTGGGAGGACCTGGGCCTCAAGCCCGACTTCCCCGTGGCCCCGCCCGCCCAGGAAATCGTCGTCACCACGGCCAAGGACTGCCAGCCGACATGGGAGTCGGGCTCCGACCCGCGCTACGAGTACTGGCCTGACTCGCCGTTGCCGCCCGACTTTTACGGCAACGAGACCGACCAGGTGCTGCCGTACGTCTTCGACTCGGCCCGCAGGTACAGCAAGATGCGTCCGCGGTGCGTCAACAGCGGCATGGTCATGGGCACCGTCGGGTCGCTCCGGGGCGCGCTGCGCAAGTGCAAGGGCAAGGCCGACGCGGCGGCGGCGGCCGGGCGCCAGCTTTGGAGCGATCAGGCTCTCTTGGCCGAGGTCATCGGGGACCAGGAGGTGTGGCGGCACTGGGTGCGGGGGCTGGCCGCGGCCTGGAACGGCATCGTCTCGCCGGAGCGCCCGGGGCGGCTTCCGCGGGAGGTGCGGCGCATCGCGGACGCGGCGCTGGCCGGGGAGGCGTTCGAGTTCGGCATCGGGCTGGACTACGAAAGTTGCGTCAGTATCACATGGCCATTTGTCAATGATTGACTGGCTGGGGACGCCGCCACTGCGCAGCCGGCCCCCCTCTCGGGCCACACCTGGGGCGACCTGCCCCTCTACACGGACTTCTTCTTCGGCACACCGCCCGTGGGCATCCACCACAACGCCTACGTCTTCGGCCTGAAGGCGTGGCGGCTGGAGCACTGGTGGAACCTGACGTGGTTCTACCCCCACCTCCGGGGGCTGGTGACCGAGGCCCTCGCGTCCAACAGGAAGCTCACGCCGCTGGCGAGGTTCCCGCTGGGTGCCGACGGTGGGAGCGAGATGGTTTACTGGGCGTCCGGGGAAGGGCCGGACGAGGCGAGCGTCAAGGTCTTTGACGGGTCCAAGGAGCGGACGGGGTATTCGTCTGTCGGGTGGGACGGCGTGTGCCAGAAAGGGGATAGGAAGTGGTATGACGTGGTATTCGCCGACGGCAAGGGGCCGTTGGCTGCATAGACTTTTTTCCAAGTAACATGTCGTAAGCGCATGCTTCCTGCCTTGGATGTGAAGAAGAGCTGCATGCCACGGCGTGGACAAGACGAACGAGACCGGGTCTGTATAGATTCCTCCGCTTCCTAGTTCTGGCGACGGCGGATTGACATGTTACTCTTGAGATCTCGACACCAATATTTTAGCCCGCCCTTGTATATAGCCACGTTGAAGACGCAAGTAGGCACCGGGTAAATTGATGAGCTGGTGCCAACCAACGCAAGTCAATCATGTGTATTTTGGTGCCGTCAACTATCATTACGTATTTTCCTCTTGGGATTCCCGGGAGATCTATGGAGCTTGTGGGCGTGTCCCTGGTGCCGACGCCGGATGGTAGGGTGAAACAACAACTCGAGCCCTCCCTCCATCGCAGGTCATCGAGGATGTACGTGCCAGTGCCACAGGATAGCTCGATATTACGTATTACAAGTCTAATGAACCTCGCTCATCCACCCCCATGCTTTTCACCCCCCGTACCCGCTCAGCGACACCTGGCATGGGTATCCGTCCGTGGGATGCGCCGCCCCGGCCTCGACCATGAAAATGCGCTGGCCTGCCACCCCGCTGAGGTCCATCTTCTTGTCCCCGTCCAGCTCGGCGTAGCAGTCCCGGAGGTCGAACTCCCTCACCACGCACGCCAGCACGGCCTTGATCTCCGTCATGACGAGCTGCTGGCCGACGCACAATCGCGGCCCGTACTCGAACACGCGCCAGCCGCCCTTGGGCGGGTACAGCTCGTGGGCCGGGTCCGTCACCAGCCACCGCTCGGGGAGGTACTCGTCCGGGCGCGCCCAGTGCCTCGGGTTCCGCTGGACGGCCCAGTGGACTATGTTGACGGCGACACCCTCCGTCGGATACGCGTTGCCCTCGGCGTCGCGGAGGACCAGGTCGGCAGATCCCTGGCGGATGCCGCCGGCGGGCGGGAACATGCGCAGCGACTCCTTGATGCAGGCGGCGGTGTAGGGCAGGGAGTTGAGCAGCGCCGGGTTCGCGGCGATGCGGGCCGGGGCGGAGCGGACGTCGGCGCCGAAGACGTCGTCGTGCTCGGCGCGGACTCGGGCGAGGACCGCGGGCCGCGAGCAGATGCTGTGCAGAGAGTAAACAATGGCGGAGGCCGTCGAGTCGTAGCCGGCGAAGAAGAACATGCGCATGTTGCGGGTCATGACGCGCAGGTAGTCGGGGTCGAGCTTCTCGCGGCCGGCGTTGGCCGGCTGGGCGAGCCAGTCCTCGAGGGCGCAGTCGAGGACGGACTGGAAGCGCTCGGCCTTGCGGCGGCCGTCGGCGCGGTTCTGCAGCAGGGTGCGGAGTCGGGCGTTGATCTGGCGCTCGATGTGGCCGTCGAGCACGCGGCCGCCGTTCCAGGTGCGGAAGAGGAGGAACGGGTCGACGCGGGCTGCGAGGTTCTGGGGCTTGTGGGCGGTGAACTTGAGGCGGAGCTGGCCCTTCATGGCCTCGGCGAGTGGGTGCGGGCGGTCCTGGGTGCCGAGGCGCACGTTGAAGAGCTCCTCGCCGATGACGTCGGTGATGAGGTCGAGGACGAGCGGCTCGAGGCGGAACAGGGCGCCGTCGGCGGCGCGGGCGCGCAGGCGGCGGACAAAGACGGCGACGTTGTCGAGGATGACGGGCACGGCGGCGGTGATGTTTTGGTTGCTGAAGCTCGGGCTGAAGAGGGCGTGGAGGCGCTTCCAGGCGGGGCCGTTGGTGTCGAACTGGCTGGGCCCGCCGGTGATGGGGTGGAACCAGCCAAGCAGCATCGGGGGCTTGACCGAGCCCGTGACGGGGTGGTAGACGGTCTGGTGGGCCATGTCCGGGTCGGTGACCACGAGCATCGGGTCGGCCATGGGCCAGTTGTCGAGGTAGAAGGCGCCCTTGTCGAAGGGCTCGCCCAGCTTGGCCACGACGTAGCTTGCGTGCGCGCCGGGCGGCAGGCTGTCAAAGGCCTTCTTGGCCTCGAGCAGGTTGCCAAAGAGAAAGCTGTGGGGGACGATGGGCTGTTGTTGGCGTGAGCGACGGACCGGGGACATGTGAGCGGCCTGGGCCGGCCGAAGGGGAGGGGGGCACTCACCAGCCCTTGGCGCTTCAGCTCGGCCATCTTGCCCCGATGCTTACTCAGAAGCGTGAAGAAATAGATGATGGAGCAGACGGCAGCCACGACGATGGCCGTCGTGGCTGATCGCAACAAGTAAGACAGGGCCCGGTCCATCATCCCGATAGCAAGCTTCACGGCTTCAGAGGGGGGATGTCACCGGTTGGGGTTTGTCACCGGGCGCTCGAGTCACGACCGAGTCCGTGGTGATGCTGCGTGTGACCGTTGAGTCGGCCTCGGAGATGGGCGGAGAAAAAAAAAAAAGAGAAGGAAAATAAGGTTGAGGAGCAAGCCGATGAGACGGACGATTGGCAAAGGTCGGGACTGATAAATAAATAAATAAAAACGGCCCCCGACAAATGGGATTTACCCCCCGTACGGGCGGCGCCCATCAGCAATTCGCACCACCCAGTCCACTGGGTCGTGTGGGAAACCGAGTAACTAGGGCCAGGGGTAGATGCATGCATGCATGCATCCATGCATGGCTATCATCGTCTAGTACGCTTTTTAATTGATGCGTTTCACTGACCGCAACATCCACGGTTTAGGAACGAATGCCGAATGAGGAACAATGGGCTCACTCACGTTGGTCATATACAAACAAGAGGCTGCATGATCCTTACATGAGTGTGTAAATCACTTGTCTTTTCGCTCTGTGGCCTAGCTGAATCCTAGCATAAACCTTTCTTCCAAACAATGCAAAGCCGGGGGGTATAGTATAATGCCTCCATAATGCTGCCGCCTTGTTGTTGCTGTTGTTGTTGTGTGGATGACGGTAGCGTGCGTTTCATGACCCAATCCTTCCTACGCCGCCCGAGTTGTTCCGCGATGCCTCCTTTTTTTTTTGTTTTTTTGTTGACAATCCCCCCATGTTGCTTTGCTTTTCTTGTGTGGCTTACAGTAGACCATGTTTGCTTTTGAATTGACCAACTCCAAGTCATAAAAACCATGCCCGATACCAGAATGAACAGCCTAAACGCCCAACGTCCTGCTCAGTTACCAAAAACAGTAAGAAACGCCTGTGAGTTGCCCCGCTTTTGATGTCCTTCCCGGAAGGGGAAAGAAGAGGAGAGGGGGGGGGGGGGGGGGGGGGAAGAAGAAGAAAAGAAAGTAAATCAATCTCCAGGTGTAGCGAGAGCATGCTTTTGGGGTTGTGCTGTGGTCTCCTACATTGGCACACCGCCGGCGAGTCCAACGGCGACGGAAGAGGTGAGGAATTCCATGTCATTGTGGTCCTGCCTGCAACCCTTTGGCGACTTGCCCTTGGCGAACCCATGGCTGTACGCTTCACCCAGAACGCTCATGTCCATCGAGGGCATCTCAGGCCGGCCTTCTCTGCGGACGACGACCAACGACGAGCTACGCGACATCCTCCACACCTCGTCGCCGACACGGGTCCGGTTGGACACCAGCACGAGAGCGCCGTGGTCCTGGGTGAGGGCCAGCCGGCGGCTCTTATCCTCGACAAAGGTCTCGAGGAAGTTGACCCCCATCTCGGACGTGGCCGCAAGGGCCCCTCTGCCGGACATGGCGTCAGTGAGCAGATTCCTATCGTCGAGGGCCCAGAATTGGCGGAACGACTCGGGATCCTGACCGGCGCCGACGGCCTGCTCTAAGTCGCCTTGGCCGGCCAAGCCGGTGAGGACGGGGCCGAGGAGCCTTTGGAAGGACTGGACGATTTCGTCCCGGGTGAAGCCTTGGGGATGCCTGTCGGTGGTGGTCTTATGGAGGGCGTCGCCAGAAAGTGTCCGCATGAGAGCGTTCATGTGGCATTCTTCATCCGGGCTTGGCGAACGCATCTTGTAGACGAGCGACAGTAGCTTGACCAGCGGCAAGAGATCCTTCATGTGTCCCAGCTCCTCGGAGATGGCGACGACGGTGTCGACGTAGGACCCGCCCAGCTGCACTTGTTCTGACTGGAGGTCGTCGACGGGCATGTTTTGGCCGAGTGGAAGGTTCATTTTTGGCTATAGTACCCGGATGTGTATGATTTTGGTGTAATCGAGGGAAGAGCTTACAGTAGAGGAGGACAAGAGAGCTATGAGGAAATGTCGATGGCGCGGGTGAGACATGTATCAACACCGACAAAATAGTGGCAGGCTAATCTGTCGTCACCATCCGCACTGGCGGGGCATAATGGTCTTATATAACCAAAACCTGATGCGTGTTTCCCCAGTCCGGGGAGACCAAAGTTGGTTGGGTTGCGTAAACGAGCGGGTCTGCGAACTCGGAAAGGGCATGATGAGCGGGTTGGCATGGACTGAACTGGGTGCTGGGGGGGGGGGGGGGGGGGGGGGGGGGGGGGCTGACGGGGCCAAGGTGGCCACGATGTCATTCCCATGGAGACGGCGAAAGCTTGATTGACCTAGGGGTACCGCGGATTTTTGTAGGTGTGGGGAGGGCCATCAGTTGTGCAGAAGGCGGCGCGCAGAATGCAGGATGGCCCATGTTAGGGATGGGATCTGGGATTAGGTTGCTTGGCAGCGGGAACACGAGAGGGAGAGAGAGAGAGAGAGAGAGAACGAGGACGGATAGAGAGGGATGGAGGAGGACGAGGAAGCAAACAAAAAAAGTAAGAAAAAAGTCTGGCACATGACGCCGAGCTTGGACCCGCTTTTGACGGGTCCCCTCAGGGTCTCTCTGCTCGTCCAATGCTTCGGACCGCAACACCTCCAAACTCGGCCGGAAACTTTTTTGTGCCGTTTGTTGTACGATCTACGTATGATGCCAGTTCATTATTGATTGTTGTTATTATCATTACGGAGTTTTATGTGTGGGAACACTAATAATCCCCGTCATCGGACTCGAGGCCGACTTCAGCCGGCCGTTATCTTCCCCTCCCAGAGATCGGAAATGCATGCATGCACACCAGGTTCCCTGCGCTACTGTTGGTGTTCAAAGGACCCTTAAACAGAGTTCGGCGCTGATGTCAGCTTGTCTCTCTCCCTCTCTCTCAGACAAACAGGCGCCAGCAACAATCAACCCGAGACGGCCTAGTCCCTGACTATTTTAACGCATGATGTTTCGTGCCATCTCGCCGGCGTAATCCCAACCTCATCGCTGCCCCCGGAAATCCACAATTGCTACAGGGAAACATCGTCTTTGGAAGTTATCACTACAATGGTCAAAGTCCTCATTATCATGGCCGACTACGGCCACGACCCCACAGGTATTGTCACTGTCACGTCTCTCCCCCGTGGTCCTGTCGTGCACTACCAAGACCACCCTCCCATCAACCCCTTGCTCGATGAAAGAAGGCTCCACGCGTCTCCGCTGATTCCAAAGCTAATCTCCTCCTTTGCCTCGCAGAGGTCGCAGTCCCCTACCAGGCTTTCAAAGATGCAGGATTCCACGTAAACTTTGCGACCGAAAAAGGCAACCCGCCCCGCTGCGATAGCCGGATGCTCGAGGGCATCTCCCAAAAATTCCTGGTATGCTTGCTTGCTTGCTTCTCCGCCCCCCTCCTCCGCCGTGAAAGACGGAAATAGCATTATCGCACATCAATAGTCCGCCACAATTCCGATGAGGTGCGACGTGATGCAATATGCGTTTGCTATTGCCATTGCCGGCAAAGTCAAGATGGACATGGAACAAAGCTAACGTGTCGCTTTCCAGGGTGCTGCAGCTTCCGTCTTGAAGATCTACGATGCTATGACCAGGTCCCTGGAAATGCAGAACCCGCTGTCCTGGTCCGACCCCGGCTTCACCCTTAGCGACTTCGACGTCGTGCACATACCCGGGGGCCATGACAAGGAAGTCAGGCAGCTCCTGGACTCGGCCTCTGCCCAGAAACTCCTTGCCGACTACTTCCCCAAGACCAAGAAGCCCGGCCGCAAGATCGTCTCCTCCATCTGCCACGGCCCGCTGCTGCTCTGCAACACCAAGGGCGAAGACGGCAACAGCGTCCTCTACCATTGCAACACGACCGCCCTCCCCGCCTTCTTCGAGGCGTCGGCCTATCACGGTACCAGGCTGTTTCTGGGCGAGTACTACAAAACGTACGGTGCCGGCTCGGAAAACGTGGAGACCCAGGTGCGTGGTACCCGATACACGATCCCGGCCCGTGTCGCTCGCTACCAGCGCCGAAACTAACCCCGACCTCACCTTAGATGCGCAAGGCACTCAAGGATCCCAGCCAATTCAAGAGCAGTTGGATGCCCAACAAACCGTTCGTTTCTCCGTCCTACCTTCGGATAATCCCCGTCACTCATATATATCCCTCCCAGTTTCGTCGTAGAAGACACCGAGTACAATTACGTCAGCGCCCGGTTCCCCCCCGACGCGGCAAAGATGGCTGAGATGACAGTCAACCTGGCCCACCTGGTCCAAAGCTTCAAGGATGATGAGTCAGTTGGCGCATAGTTGCAACAGTAACCCTTCTTGACGCGCGTTTCGGCTCTCGGAGATGGCTCTCGAGGCTCTCTCTCTCTCTCGGGTAGCTCGCCTATGGTTAATAGACCGAGGATCAACTGCAGTGTTTTATGAACTGCCCGCTGTTTCCATTATATAGGCAGCCCACGACCGGAAGGGGGGTCACGCGCCTCAATGTAGACAAAGAGCATAAGCTCTTACAGCGAGTGTGTTGTCCAGAACGAACCGGTTTCTCTGGATGTCGCCACAATGACAGCTTCCCGTGGGTGAAAGCAAATCCAATGGACAGCCGGCATGGTTAAGCTTAATGACATGTTATTTTCTGGTTTGGTGAACCCAACCCAACCCCCCCCCCCCCCCCCCATATCTAGCATCGTACCTGGACGGACCAGCGTCTTCTCCTCGTAGCATTGGGTTGTCGTCACGGACTTTTTGCGGATCAAACGACCCCGCACCTCGCTAGCTTCGTGACTTGGACAGTTCCACGATTCTTTGGATGGCCTTGTCAACGCTCGTGACAACAATCGTCGGCTCCCTGTCAATCATGCTACCCAGGGCGTCAACCCACCCCGTGCCGCCCCTATCGATCCATGCCGACTGCCACCCGGCCGCCCTCGCGCCCAGGACGTCGAACGGGTTCGAGCTGACGAGCCAAATCTCACTCTCCCTGCCAGACATGCCGGCCCTCTCTGCAAAGTAGCCGTACGTCCGCGGGTCGGGCTTGAAACACCGCACCTCCTCCACCGTGACCAGCTTTCCCGGGCCGAACGTGCCACTCATCCGCGACAGCGCCTGCGACGTCCTCATTGACGCGCCCACCATGTCGTCGGTGCCGTTGGAGAAGACGTAGGCGTCGACGGACCCGTCGCCCTCGACGACGGCCATGGCCGCCCCGACGTCGGGGAACGTCTTCAGCCCGTTGTAGGCCTCCATGAGGCGCCCCTCGTCGTTCGCGGACAGCTCCAACTTCTTCTCGGCGACGGCGTGCCTCAGCGCCGCACGCGTCAGCTCTGAGAAGGAGCGATAGGTGCCTGCAATCTCGACAAATCTCAGTCGCAAAGCTTTCTTTGCGCGCGGGGGGGGGGGGGGGGGGGGGGGGGGGGCTCACGCCACCGCATCCGCGTAGGGCGCTTACGGGTCTAGAAGTGAATTATACATCCTAGACGGAGGTTTTACCGTCTTGTTCTGTATGGTCAATCGGTGGGCCTTTGTTATACGGCGTACGCTCACAAAAAGGCATTCAGTACTAGAAAGCCACAAATTGCGCGCGGAGTATTGGTCGGTCAAAAAAGCCAGAGTAAGTGTCAAAAAGAGGATTTCGGCGAGGTCAACGCGTATTGTCTTGTACAAATCGTCACGACGGTAGTGACGTTTGAGTCAGCTAGCGTTTCGCATGCCTAGGAGAGGGATAGGCCGCTGCCAGTGGGAG